CATGTTCCCATATACAAGCAGAATGTAAAAAGATGATTATATATGAAACCATGAATTTCTGTTATGTCCTAGCTTCTTAAAAGACCCTGGGATAGAGTGGTAAGGTTAAGCAACTTCCTCTCTACCATCCTAAGGCCTTTGGGGAAGAGTAGTAAAGGTGGGACATAGTGGGGTGCAATGGAAAGCATGCTGGATTTGAAGTCAGAGAACCCGAGTTCAATTTCAGGCACTACTGTTCATTACTTGTATAACTTTGGGAAAGTCACTAAACTTTCCTGAATCTCAGTTTCCTCATTTATAAAAAGAAGAATTAAGACACGGTCACCTCAGAGGTACTTTCCAGCTTTAAATCTACGATTCTGTGGAGATGATTACTATTCACTGCCTCTTCTGACCCCCATCCCCAAAACTTTTGGGGTCACACTTCCCCACACCAGACCTTTTTTTCCTCAACTGGCCCTCCCCGAATTTTGCCTCTACCTTACCTTCTAGGGATTTGAATCTAGGGCTCCTCTTCACATTGTCCTGACCTTTATTGACAAATGTCATCTCTTTTCTAAGAGGGGACCATAGAGTTAGCACACTGGAAAAAATTACTAGACCTGAAGCCCGGAGATTTAGGAACCTGGGACCAAGTCCCAGCTCTGACACTAGCTCGATGACCTTGAGAAAGTCATTGGGCTGTGATACAGAATCAAAAGAGAGATCTAAATTAGCACTGGAAGGGATCTCAGAGGACATCTAGTCTAACCCTCTCATTTTACAGATGAGGAAACTGAAGCCCAGAGAGGAAAGTAGTTTGCCTAATGTGACATAACTGGTAAACAAAACGAGAATTTGAACTCAATTCCATGATTCCGAGATTAGGACAGTAACCCTTGTTCCATGCCGCTTCCCTCCACAGTAGAAGGAATACTGAGTTCGGAGTCAAATGACTTAAGTTCAAACCTAGACTCTACTACTTGTTATTGTATGACCTTGGGTTATTCACTTAATCTCTGAACCTCAGTTTCTTCAGATCTGTCAAATGAGGGAGTTGAACTAGATAATCTTGAATATCCCTTCTAACTGTAACTCCTATGAATCTCATCTGTCTCATGTGAAATCAAGGTAATAATACTTGCACTATTTGCATCACGGTTTGATGGACAAAAACCATTTTATGAACCTTAAAGATCTCCATCAATGGGAGCCACTGCCATAATAGAAACATCATCATTTTTGTTGTTGTTATCTTCCCTCCAATATTTATAGCACAGAGTGAGCAGCGAATCAATATTGCTGATTGAACTGGTCCTCCCCCTCAACCCTTGGAATCGTGCTAACCTTGAGATTGTTCACATCCTCTTATTGGAACAATATAGAGCAAGGCAGTCCTGTGGGATTCTGTTCCCCATTGAACTTCTAGGCCTAGCCCAGAGTGACTCAGTTAGGAAAGATGCAGGATGAGCTTTGACTCTCAGTTCTCTTTGAGGTGGGTGTCCAGGGTTGGGATTATCAGTCATGAGGAAGGAAACTGCTGCTGCTGTATGCTCCTGGAGGTAATTCTTAACTGATCATCCTAAGGCCTTTTCTCTATAATAATTTAT